CGGAAGTTATGCTGGGAAACGATAGGGTGATTGGCGACGTAAGTGTGTACGATGGATCATGTTTGACTCTAAGACGGTTCTACTCGTTATTTATGCAAGTTCTGACGATTACTCTTCCTCTCCCTACTTGAAAGATTCATTGGATCCCAAGTTTGTGAAAGGGAAGATTGTGGTATGCAACAAAGATGTTAATTCAAGAGTTGAGAAAGGGCAAGTGGTGAAAAAAGTAGGAGGAGTTGGTATGATTTTGACCAACGAACCCTTTGATGATGAAGGTTTGGTTGCCAACTGCCACGTCCTCCCCGCCACCTCAGTGGGCTCCACCAGCGGTGACGAGATTCGTAGATACATCTCTTTGACCTCCCCAAATATTAAAAACTTAAATTTATTTAAAAAGCTGAGATGACATTTAAATGATGTGTACATACACATTAGATACAATACAAAAACTCCTTTTTTATTGAGGATAGAATACGTAGTAACCCCTAAAAATTAAACTTGATGTAGAAATATTTAGAACAAAAATTATGTCTAAATAATTACAAATTGTAAAGTAAGAAGTATAATATATTCTTTATTATTTCATAATAAGTATTATCTTAAATTTTTGTATTTCACAAAAATCAATAAAAAATTATAAATAGATGAAAATAACAATAATTTCATAAATTTAAATTTATTATTAATATCTTTTTATTAAAATAATTACAACATAATAACAACTTTCTAAATATATTATATATTAGGAGTATATCAAATATGTTAGAGATTAAAAATAATGAAAAAAATAACAAAATAAATGAAAATAACAATAATTTCATAAATTTAACTTTATTATTAATATATTTTTATTAAAATAATTACAACACAATAACAACTTTTTAAAAATATTATATATTAGGAGTATAACAAATATGTTAGAGATTAAAATTAATAACAAAAATGAGAGGAAAAAAATATATATGCAAAGAACAACGATAGAAAAAGAAATTTTTTAATGTGTCTCATATTTTAAGTCGTCAATCTTTATATAATGCTTGCAAGTTTATCCCATTTGTAAAGGTTAAGAATGAACACTCGTTAATTAATCCCAAATAATTATAATTAAATCAATATAAAAAAATCAATAAAGTCATCTATTACAAATGCAATCCCTTTTAAAATAACACTAATAAATTAAGCTATTATCAAAGAAGAAAATAAATACAATTATCTTCATAAATAAAATTACATAAAAATAATAATAGAATATTTGTTTAAAAATAACAAAAAATGTCACTATTTTTAATAAACATTAAATAAAAAATATTTTGTTAAAAAGGAAATAAAATTTAAATGTTACATTATATCTACAACTAAACTTTTTAAAAATAAATAACTATCCTATATAATAATAAAATATAATTAGATTTTAGTTTTTGATAAAAATATAATAATAAAAAATAAAATTACCAAAAGTGTTTGTTGTGGATGGAGATGAATTTTTTTCTCAAATAATATTTTTTAAAAAAAATTATCAAAAAACATCTATTACACATTATTTATCCAAATAGACATTTTTACTGTTCACACTTAGAATTCGATTTTTCGGGAACTGAATTTTGAGCAGTTTTATTTTTTTTTGTGCTCAGAATTCGGTTTCGATTTCCGGGGAACCGAATTCTGAGTAGTGTTTAAATTTTTTTTTTTATTTTGGATTCAGGAATGTGTCAATTTTGTAATTGAAACAGGCCGTTCTGCTTGCACTCCTTGGAGAATGGCCCGTTCCGATCCATTCTTCATATACCCGTTCTGAATTTAGTTTTCCTTTTCTTCAGAAACTAAAACGCAAAAAAAATAAAAAAATAAAAAAATAACACTGCTCAGAATTTGATTTTTCGGAAATCGAATTCTGAGTGTGAACAGTAAAAGATGTTTATTTGGATAAATAATGTGTAATAAATGTTTTTTTTTAATTTAAAAAAAAATTATTTCAGAAAAAAATTCTCATATATTCCATCACTCACGTCATGTCGATGGAAATGGAATATTAAACATAGTAACATAGTATTAGAATGAAGAAGCTAGGGCCTAGGTGGTTCTGAATATATTTATGCTATTTATAGCTTATGGGTTACGTGTCGACAGTTATTAATATATGTCGCCTCAAGTCCACTGAAAAGTCGAGAGCAACGGATGCTCACAAGTTTGTCATTTAGGTTTATGATTAGGGTTTAAATTATTTTCATTTAATTTTTTCACTTAAAAAATGCTTTGTTTAGATAAATTTTCTAAAATTTTGAATTTATAGTTTGTACAGAGTAATTGACGAATAATTGTGATGCCATGGGAAGCTGCCGCATTTGCTCATTGATAGTCTTTGATTGTGATCCATTTTCTCACCCCTATATGAACTATTGTAAATAATTTTAACATTAGTACTTGCAGAATTCAATGAATGTAATATTTATTAAATGTAGTAATTAACACCTACAATTATTCTCATCGTCAAAAGATGTTTTTCGAAATTGATTTTTTTTTTAAATTTAGTTTAGTATATATCAACTTTGTTGAAAGATAGTGACTGAATGAATTACATAAAGTAGTAAGATTTTAAAATTGCTTAACAAAATTTTTATTCAAAAAACTAAAAGAATAAAATAAAAATTGATGAATTATATTAAAGTAAAACTTAATTGTAAAATTTGCCTAAGGCCCAAAATTTTAAGACATGGCCCTGATACATAAGCCTGTAAAACACGAACACAGTTGCATGCCTCCCAATTTATGGATAGTGATAAGCCTATTAAAGAAATAACAAGGCTAAAAATCTATTTTGGTCTCTTATAATAATTATTTGTTTCAATTTAGTCTTATTTTTATTTTTGGTTTCAATTTGGTCCCTCACAAGGTAATTGGTTTCAATTTGGAACTTCCGTCCAAATTATTTAAACGGAGTTAAGTGTTGGCCACGTGGATGCCACGTAGATGCATACGTGGATACCACGTGGACACCAGATTTTGCGAAAATACCTGGAACCAGAACGGTCCGTTCTGAAACCAGAACGGGCCGTTCTGGATGCACTCTTGGTGTGTTAATTTTGCATCTGGAACGGGCCGTTCTAGATGTAAAATGAACACACCACCAGTACACCAGAATGGTCCGTTCTAAAATCACGGACCGTCCTGGTTGCAGAACAGGTCGTTCTGACTGCAAAACGGGACGTTCTAGATTCAGAACGGCCCGTTCCAAGACTGAGAATAAAATATTCTTTATTAATTTTATTAAAAAATATAATAATTTTGAAAAATATTTTTTTATGGTAAAAATTTTAAAATTATTTATTTTTATAAAATACAATTGTCTTATAAATAGAGTAATAACTTTTTTTTTTCTCTTTTTGTCTGAAGAAATATTTAAGTGTCACTTTATAAATTTTTGCAACTTATCTAAAATTAGAGGAATAAAATGATAAAAATTAATAGGATAAACATAATAAAATTATTAATTTATTTTCTTTTAGTGTCCTCTAAATTTTTACATTCATTTAAAACAAAAATATTTTATATGTTAATTTGAATTAATTTAA